GTCCCAGCTACTTGGGAGGCCGAGGCAGAAGACTCGCTTGAGCCCAGGAGTTGGAGGTTGCTGTGAGCTGTAATGCCAGAGCACTCTACCCAGGGGGACAGCTTGAGGCTCTGTCTCAAAAAAAAAAAAAATAGGAGTAAGAAATGGTTCGAGTTCTGGCTTTGTCACTTATAGCAGCTTTACTTTAGAAAAAGAATATACAGAAGATCTTGGCATTCAAAAAGTTAAAATTATATTCACTCAAATATGGTCAAAACTTCAAAGTCTATAAAAAGTAATATTATATAATTCTCTAGACATGGGAATTTGAATCATGCCTGTATCAGGCAGGGTGTGGCAATGTATCACACAGTGAATGAGGGAGCAATGATCGTTTAAACTGATCACTAATACAATGAACTCAATATAGTGGGGGGAAGTGATGCCACACATTGATTCTGCTACTCTCAAAAGATAGGACTAATACGCCCGTAAGTTTACACTTACTTTTTGTTGGTAACTAGAGTTACTACTTATCGTATCTACTTATTTTATCCATTTACTTTTAGAAGTTTCGGCTTAATCTCTCATTCCTTACTCTTCACATTTTAACAGTTTAAATTTATTTTTTTTCTTTTTTTTTTTTTTGAGATATTTTTTTTTTTTTCTTAACCTACAGAGTAGCATAGAATGTGAATTAAACTCTGTGACTTATTCAGTAGGGAATATAATTCTTCACATTTTAGTTTACCTATTCAATTAGTACAACTGTCATTATGAAATATAAGACATATCATAAATTATCTAATTCAAGAAAAAGTTAATAGACCTATTTTCACATGTCCATATGGCATGGGCTTCCCAATGAAGATTTGTCCATCAGGGCTAACAAAGTTAACATAACAAATAATTCAGCTTTATGTCAAGAAATTGTAAAAGGGAAAGAGACAGTGAGAGTCACCCTTGCTAATGCAAGGGTATGCCAGCCTCCAAATCTAAACCTTAAACTGACACATCACAAGTTATGTTTCCTATGCAAGATATAACGGACATCAAATATTCATAGATCAGATCCGGCCTACGGAAAAACTATATACTTATAAGCTGAGGTACAGTTCACGTAAGCCTAATAAGCCCAGGTGTGCAGGGAGCTGATAAGACAAGAGGTAGTAACATCTCTCTTGACTCATCTATCCTGTGCGAATTAGAAGTCTATCTATCGCTCTTTTAGAAAACACAATGACCTATTTTCTAACTGTGCTTTAGAATACCAAATAATTTGCTTTTAATATGTGCAATTTACTGCTTATGTTTTAACTGTACATCTAAGAAATTAATACCGAGTTGAAAGTAGACAACTGTTCTTTGTGCACAAATGTGGTACCACTTGCTTACTTTTGCTCTCCATATGAACTACTATCAACTTTCTTCATAATGTTTTCATTCTTCTCATTCAAAATAATCTCTCAAAAGAAATATGAATATTTATGAGATGAGAATATGTTTCAGCAGTATTAGTTGATCCATTCCATGATGGGTGGTTAAAGAAAAAAGTTATGTTGTAAACTGGTTAACAAGATGATGAAGTTAGAAATCTAAGACTGCTCAGTAAATCTGACAAAAGCTAAAAGAAAATAAAAAGCAAGTAAGAGATTATGGAAGGACAATTATAAGAAAGAACAAGTAGATATGAAAAATACAGAAGTCAAATACTGGGAAAGAGGATAATATGAAGGTTAAAAGAGAAGGTGTGGTACTCTGGAACATTTTACAAATATGTGTGTAATATCTAGGCATCCAAAGTGTTTTTCACAGAAACCAAATATTTTCAAGGTATCTGGAAAGCTCTAAAATCAACCAACCAACCAAAACCAAAAATAAACCCTCCTTTGAATCCTTTTTTAAAAATGTATTTTTTTGTAATACAAACAGCCAATTACTAATTTAACTGCTTTACAACTTCAGATTTTACATAACAGGTTTTCATAAAAATAAGGTACACATGTAAAATGTCGGCATTAGAAAGAGTAATGTAAAATTTGCTATTATATATGAAAATAATAACTCTCCAGCCAAAGCTTTAAGTACATACTTAGTACCACTATACCTAAGTACATACTTAGTATCCCTTCATCCCTAAAGACTAACTAGAAAATAATTGGTAAATCTTTATATGGGACACCAAGCATAAGTCCCTATGAATTCATCTTCAAAATAGCTTAGGTAAGCACATAAATACTCATATCTCATTCTGTCCTAAAAATTCCCCTTCCCTTCTATAGTTCCATTATATAGTTCTATTTTTTACAGAACTACTATTATAGTTCTTAGCTCCATCTGGTATAGAGAATAGACAAAAGCTGCCAACTATATTCTCAAAGAGGAAGAAAACAGTCAATAATTACAATAGAACAGAATAGAAAGGCTTAGGGAAAAAAAAAAGACACCAAACTAAGTCATTTCAGAACTCACTGTTCAAGTAGTATAGGCTGAATCTTGCTGAGTAGCAGCAAAGACAGATATGGTATAGGAAAGGATACTACTGAAAATTATGTATAAAACATTTGTAATTTTTTTCTATTTGCTGTACTTGAATGGTAGGCATCCCAGCATATTGATAATATTTTAAAAACAAATTAGTATATAGTGTAATAGTAGCTGCTACCAGAATAGGTTTCTCTGTTCTACCTCACCCTATCCCATGGAGACAATGTCACAAATATTATATTCAATTAGTTCACCAACTCAATTTTAGCTATAATTCAGTCTATTAAATTGTTTTTAATAACCTGAGAAGCAGAAAGCAGAATAAAAAACTAGGTCAAAGAAAAAGAATTTTACATCTGTTAAGTAACTTCATTTTAAGGGGAAAAAAATCCTATACTGTTATTACTACTTCTTTGAAATGGATTGAATTAAAATTAGGACTTGTAAAAACAATGGATTGATTACAGTTTCAGAGTTTCAAATAAGTACAAAGCTACACATTATTATTAAAATTTACCATAATAATAAATAGTAACATTTTTTCTAAATTGTATCACTTTATACTATTACTGATTAGGCTCTTTTAAATTTTTCCATGTACATTTTTCAATCAAACCACTTATTCATAACTTCAACAAATTAAAAGTTAAGCCAAGAAATAAATTTGCTGTTTATTTATAATTGTTATTGCAATTATTATGAAATGAACACAAACAATATGGAAATTTACATTTCATTTTAGAATTTAAGCTTTTATTTAATTATTTATTTTTTGAGTAGCGAAAAGGTAGTACTTAAACAGAGTAATCTAAAGACCTTGGAGGTCTGGCTAGGAATCAGTCCTCCTCTACAGGGACTTGGTATTATCAGCATCTCAAGATTTTTAAGTTGCTATAAGGTAAAGAAATGTTAGTTTAATATAATCAACATAAAAGCATAACTTTAAGGCACCTCTATTTGTATCTGAAGTTTTAAATTTGAGATCTTTCTCTGTTGGCTTCTTAAATAAGAGACTTGAAACTACCCACAAACTCTAGCAACAAGTTACACTGAACATCTAGCAGATGCTTCACATACCTTTTTGAGATGTCCTAGTCTAAGTTTGAAAATTTCTTCCTGTTCGTGATATTCTGCCAAAGTCAACCTGTCAAAAGTGAAATTGTAATTCTACATATTGAGATTAATACTTATAATTTCTTATCAACAACTAGCAAATATGATAAAATTAATCAAATGGAAATACTAGTACAGACAACTTGTAAGTCAAAAATTCTTTAAAATATTCCTCAGAATATATTTAATACTTACACATGGAAGAATTAACAAATTCCACAACTGTTTAATGAATACCATGTATCGAGCAATGTTCTCAAATTTAGATCCTAAGGACCCAGTAAAAAAAACCTAATTTCTCATTACATTTTAGTTTGTGTGCTACTCTACACTGGTAGTAAAGAGATAGAAAAGAAACTGTTTAAGGAGGAAATAAAACAACTTCATGTAACAAATGTTATGAAGAAAACAAAACAGAGTGGTATGGCAGTGAGTAACTGTATTATACTAATTTGACTGAGTCTAGGGAGGTGACTAGGACTGAGGAGAGTATACACCAGACGTGCGCTATAGCAAGTGCACAGATTCCTAACATGGAAACAGTGCAGGCATATAAGCAACAGAACGTAGTAAAAGGGTTGTGAGTAGTGGCAGGAGAGGCAAATGGGGCATGTATCATGCGTGCATTTGTGGGCGAGCTATAGGATTTACATTTACTCTTAGGAGTAATGGGAAATCACTGCAAAGTGAGTCAGTACAGTTTGGGCACTGGTTTTAAAGATAAGGAAAAAGAAAGGATGCTCTTCCCTTCTTTGCTTTAGTGTTAGGAGTAAGCAATGCTAAAACTATAGAAATAAAGAAATGTGAAACTATAGTCAAAGTACCAAATTCTTATTAAATACTACATTCAAGACTTTAAACCTTGAAAGTCCTTTATAGCTTTTTTATTATTAATTTCAAATGTATGTATATAACTTTGAAAAATAACCAGTTTAGTATATACAGAACCAAAACAAGATGTAGCTGCACTGCAACATTTCCTAAGAAAAAATGATTCTCTGTTCTGATAAAAGAAAAATAAAATCACCCACAACAAAGTAACTTCCACATCATACCCAAATTTTGAAAGAATTGTTGTTATCATATTAAGCCCTCGTTTGTTTACTAACGTGTTCTGAGGGTATTTGATTAAGCTTTCAAACTTAGGTGTTATTTATTAACGTTTGGTTCAGGTCCCTAAGGAACATTTAGTATAAATGCTATATCCCTTTAGCTAGATGTAAATTAAATTTACTAATTCTAAAAAGGGGATATGCAAAAGAAATAAAACTCCAAAAAATTCCACTAGATACATCTTAACAGCTAAAAATTAAGCATTTTTTTTTTTTAGACTGAGCCTCAAGCTATCCCCCTGGGTAGAGTACCATGGCATCACAGCTCACAGCAACCTCCAACTCCTGGGCTCAAGCGAGTCTCCTGCCTCAGCCTCCCAAGTAGCTGGGACCACAGGCGCCCGCCACAACGCCCGGCCATCTCTTGGCTGCAGCCATCATTGCTGTTTGGCGGGCCTGGGCTGGGGATTTGAACCCGCCACCTTAGGTGTATGTGGCTGGCACCTTAGCTGCTTAAGCCACAGGCGCCGAGCCTAAAAATTAAACATTTTAAAGTTAAACCTCTCTACCCAGTTTCAGGGTAACACAATTACTGGATTTTATTATACTGAATACAGCAATACTTGACAGCTGCATTAGTTGCTTATAGTATGGTTAATTAAATGATGCAATGTGAACAAAAATGAGAGGGAAAAGAAAATGAGGTTTGGAAACTAAAATTGATATCTCAACTATCCCAGTCAAGAAAAGGTGTAGCAAAGTTGGCAAATAGCTTCTGAATATGCATACGGGTTTATGCCACTGGTAAAAATTTACTCTATTTGCCTCAGCCTCCTGAGTAGCTGGGACTACAGGCACATGCCAGAATGCCTGGCTAAATTTTCCACTTTTTTTTTTTTTTTGTAGAGAAAGAGTCTCAATCTTATTTAGGCTGAGCTGAGGCCATCCACCTGCCTTAGCCTCCGCGAGTCATCACACCTGGCTTTATTTCCTATTCTTCAGTATGGTTTTAGGCTCACTAGCAGACCACAGGATAGGCTCCAAATTAGTGTTTTAAAGATATGGAAATCTTTTTTGCTTTCTGTATAGGAATAAAATATAATTCTATACTTTGATTTTTACTGAGTTATAAAATGGCTAAAATTTGGTATTTGAAAACCCAAATTAGTATATGACTTCAGTGCAAAACTGCAAAGCTACTACACATGCAGATGGCTAAACTTTCCGCAATTTAAGGGAATGGATATTCTGTTGTCTTGACTAGGCTACTGACTTTTCCAGAGCAGTGATACATACCATTTTACAATCATAGATTTCCAAAAGAAAATCTGGAGGTGGTTATAAACACTTTTCCTCAGAAAATTTTACATAAACACAATCTTGGGGTTCACAGACCTCAGTTTAAGAATTCCTATTCCAGGGTATTACCTTGCCAATTAGAATGCAAACCCCAAAATGGCAAAAGAGCCGTGTCTTACATTTCTGCCCATCTCTATTAGAAACTGCCTGACCAGCTCGGTGCCTGTAGCTCAAGCGGCTAAGGCACCAGCCACATACACCGGAGCTGGTGAGTTCGAATCTAACCTGGCCCTGCGACAACTACAACTAAAAAATGGCTGGGCATTGTGGCAGGCACCTATAGTCCCAGCTACTTGGGAAGCTGCGGCAAGAGAATCACCTAAGTCCAGGAGTTGGAGGTTGCTGTGAGCTGTGATGCCACAGCACTCTGCCTAGGGCGATAGCTCAAGGCTCTGTCTCAAAAAAAAAAAAAGAAACTACCTGACATATAACAGCTTTTTAGATACCTGTTGTCTATTTGCTTTAATAAAAAAAATGTCTTCAAAGAAATCTATATATTTAGACAGGTGAAACTGTGGACAACCTTCTTTAAAAAAAATTGAAATGAGCTGAGCATGGTGGCTCACGCCTATAATCCCAACACTATGGGAGACTGAGAAGGGAGAACTGCTTGAGCTCAGGAGTTTGAGACTTGCCTGAGAGAGAGTGAGACAACGACTCCTTAAAAAAAAAGAAACCCAGCAGGGCACCACCTCACTGAGGCAACGGGATGCCCACAGCCCAAATCTGAGGTTACAGTGAGCTATGATGCCATTGCACTCTGCTCAGGGCACAGGGTGGGACTCTGTCTCAACAACAACAATTGAATTGAATGCATAGAATGAAAAGAGCTAAACTAGGATAATGTTAACAATAATGGCTTTTAATTACTGGTTATTTTTACTGTGTTTCGATGTTTAAAAAAAAATCTACCCTCACTAGCAAGTCAGTTGATTAAGTTACTTAGCAAATCTTTTATTCACAGATAATGAACAGTTATAGCTGATTTCTTTCTTTCTTTTTTGAGACAGAGTTTTACTTTGTCACCCTTGGTAGAGTGCTATAGTGTCACAGCTCACAGCAACCTCAAACTCTTGGGCTTAAGCAATTCTCTTGCCTCAGTCTCCTAAGTAGCTAGGACTACAGGCATCTGTACAACACCTGGCTATTTTTTGTTGTTGTTGTTGTTGTTGCACTTGTCATTGTTGTTTAGCAGACCTGGGCTGTGTTCAAACCCACTAGCCCCAATGAATGTGGCTGGCACCCTAATCACTGAGCTACCGGTGTCAAGCCTTTTATAGCTGATTTCTTCCTAAATGAATGATACTTGATATTAGACTAAATTATTAATATTTTACATGCATGTTAAAGCTACTACATAAAGCTGTCCTGTAGGTTTATATAAATTAACTTTTAAAAGTCAACAACTCCAAACTCTAAACATAAGGCAGGGTGTGGTAGCTCACCTGAGCTCAGGAGTTCAAGACCAACCTGAGCAAGAGTGAGATCCCCACCTCTACTAAAAATAACCCAGTGGTGCAGTAGGCACTTGCAGTCCCAGCTACTCAGGAGGCTGAGGCCAACAGGATCTCATGAGCCTAAGAGTTTTGAGGTTGCCGTGAGCTATGACTCCATGGCACTCTACTCAGGGTGACAGAGGGAGGCTGTCTCAAAAAAAAAAAAAATCAAAATAAACTCTAAATGTAAGACTTACTTCCTGATAATCTTCCATAATAAATTTGAGTAAATGAGAACTTTATTTTTAATTAAAAGTGTTTTACTACAGTTCACTAGAAATGTGATATCACAGTATTAGAAAAAGCTAGTAGAAGAACAGGAAATATTCATTTTTAACAAATTTGACAATAACTGCTTTAAAAACATTCTGTTTAAAAGCAGGAAACTAACCTGAAGACTCAATATTAAGGAATACAAACTATGGTAAAGAGACTAGTAAAGCACTTAAAAAAAATTAACAGTTTATTTATGATAGTATAGCAAACCTTGAACACTTAACCATAGGCCATGGATTCAAATGAAGACCAGACTTTTTAAATGGGGGTGGGGAATCTGCCTTTGAATACAGTAACTCGCTATTATCCTCTGAAAATGGTCTTTGAAAAGAATTTTCTGCTTGCAAAGAGTTAAGCAGTTCTTTGACAAGTTACACACAGAATTTACTATATGACATGAAATATCACTCCTAGGTATATACCCAAAAGAAATGAAGACAAGGGGGCCTGGAAAGCTCTCACCTAATGTGCACAACGTAAGGGTACATGGCATACCCTTAGGTGAAGGGTTCAACTTCAACTTAAACTTTACCAAACAAACACAAACACTATAATCTGAAATTAAGAAAAAGAAATGAAAACATATATGCCCACAGTAACTTCTACACAACAGGAATAGAAGAGAACTTCCTCAATGGTGTAAATGGTATTCATAACAAACAGACCAACTTTGGGCTATCACAGCATCCCACCTAACATTATATTTAATAGTGAAAGACTAAAAGCTTTCTCCCTAAGATCAGGAACAAGGTAAGCATGTCCATTTTTACCAGTGCTATTCAATACTTGACTAGATGTCCTATCAGAAGTCAAGTAAAAAAAGAAATAAAATGCATCCAAATTGTAAA